TCAGTGGTTAAGAGCATTTGTTGCTCTTGCACAGGACCCGAGTTCAGTTCCCAGAATCCAGGTCAGGTGGCTCACAACTGCCTGTAACTCTAGCTCCAAGGGATCTGATACCCTCTGGGGTACCAGCACACAAGTGCACAAACATACACACATGTGTACATACATACATACCCATAAATAAAAAAAAAAAATCTTAAAGAAAAGAGCCATCATATTTTCAGAAATACCCAGAAACAATGAATGCTCAGTCTCCATACACTTACTAACATGGCTAAGCTAAACTCTAAGTCTCGACAAACATGTTTCAAACAGGTGGAACTCTCCTGACACTGCTGAGGGAAATGCAAAACAGGAGTGTTTGTTGCTGTTGTGCTTTGCTAACCACACGTTCAGTTTATTTCAAAGTCTACCATGCAGTGTTGGAGAGGCCTATACCAGCACTTCCACTCACAGTATTTACCAAGAAGACAGGCATAGGAAGAACTGTATGTGAAGGCTCGGTGCAGCTCTATTCCTAACAACTACAGGTTGCAAACAACCAAATGCCCATCAAATGGTCCTGGACAGTGTGTTACATCTGTGAAACAGAATACTATTCAGAAGTAAAGAATGGACTCATGAAACAAAATCAAACAGTAGGGGTTTAAAAGCAATCACACTAAATGAAAGAAGCCAGGCACATATGTGCATACCATAGAATTCTACTTACACAACATTCTGGAACAGATGAAAACACAGAGCCAGAAATCAGATCAGTGGTTGCCACTATGGGGTATTTCACTACAACAGGGTACAAAGGAATTCTGAGGTGTGGCAGAGGCTGTGGAAGAGGCTGCACAATTAGACAAACTTGCAAAAACCAATCAAACTATACATTTAAAATCAGTACATCTTATTTAATATAAATTGTACCTCAATAAAAAGTTAGCAAAGGAAAAAATATTGATGCTGGTTAATCTACTGGCAGCAAGGTCTTGAGGGCTAGATCAAAGAAGCAATTGGAAGCCTATGGCCATGGATGATGATACCCTCCTCAGCATTCAACAAAAACCCTACAGCAGGGCTTTTATGGAGTCCAAGAAGAGGAAGTTGGGCCCCAAGACTCAAAGAAGCACATCTGAGATCCAGCCAAGCTTCATCTCTTCTCTCTGCCATTCCCATAAACTTCAGGAGAGTAGGGCTGCTTTCTCAGACTGGTGATGGTGAGCCAAAATGAAAACTGACTTTATACTAATAAGTATCAGGACCAAGATAATAGTAAACATCTGGAAAATGGGAAAATTACAACATGCCTACCTCTCCACCAAGAAATATCAGACAATGCTAATAGTCTCATTTTTTTGACGCTCATGATTCTTCTGACTCAGCCTCTCAGGCGTGCATCACCACACCCAGCTCAAAATGTCATCTTTCAAGGTAGAAGGTAATAAACAATAACATTCAAAAGTGAAATATACATCTTTCAAAACTCAAAATGATTCCTACTAATATTTTCATAGTCTCTTCTTAACTTAAAGGGGTATTTTAGAAAACAAGTCTCATTTATATAGTTAAATTACTTTCCAATTCATTTAACTTTATGATTTATTTTTCTTTTGTTAAATTAAATGAATTTTGTACTTTTTTAAAAAAATTAAAACAATCATAGAATTTTATCCACTCATATACCTTACTGTATCATATCTGAGACATGAGTGCTTGTGAGACATGCTGTATTTTATGTACCATTAAGAGAAAAGAAATCGCTGCCAATGTAACTACCCCTTCTCTCCTTCCCTCCTTGCATCCCTTCCTCCATTCATCCTTGCATACTTCCACCTACCCACCCACACACAGAGATATAAAAAGGTTCCTGCTAGAGGTCACTTGGATTTAGTAAAGGTTCTCTTCTCAGAGAGAGGATCTGAGGTCATTTAAAAACCCTTATCTTTTCTACTTTAAAAATTATAATGATGAAGTAGTTAGAGAAACAATTCAATGATTTTTATCCAAGGGAAAAAATGACTGGAATTAAATATGTCAGAATTTTAGTAGGGGATGATTCTGGGTATGATGCCCATAGATGCCTTTATTTCTCCTTGGTTCATTTCTCTGTATTTTATAACATTTTTTCCAAATTGGAAAGCTAAACAAGAAAGCAAAGATTAAACAAACAGATGAACGTACTTAGACCTAAGAACTTCTGACTTCCTCTCAGAGTGACCAAAGGCTCCCTGTTTGCCACAGATAAAAGCCCTAGGCCAAGGATGGTTGGCTACCCTGCCTCCTTTGTGTTGCAAATAAACAGGTGATGCATAAGAAAAGATGTCTGGGCCCTAGAGCAACAGTGTCTAAGCATCTTAGTGGAACTTAGGAACTCAGCAGATCCTGGTTGCCTCCTACCCTCAGAGTCTCTAGTGCAGTTGATATGAAATGGGGCTCAGGAGGGCACAATTGTAAGCACACCAGTAATTCCATAGCCTGAGTTTGCCAGACCAAGGTTCCTACAGTACGACTTCTTGGCCTTCTCCACATCTGAGCTGGCTGGATCCCTAAGTCTGTGCTACCAGGAGGCACCTGCTGCCCCTCCGTATCTCACAGCCCCTGTCACCACTCTCTAGGCTCAGTGGAGACAGAAGGTAGATGTCAGGAATTCAGGGGATCCACTCCCTTCCCCCAGGAAAAGGCAGCACAACCCAGGCCAAAATCATTATCTCTGACCTCAGGAACACTTACCCACTCTTCCACAGAAGTTTAAACTTTTGAAACACAGAAAAGGAGGAGCACTGTATTAGAAAGGGCAATCGGATCTCTGCAGTTCTACCCCATGCCTCATCTAAGTTCCACTATACAAACACCACATCTAGCATCTGATAAATTTTAGAATGACCTAGTAGCCCAGCCTGAACAGTAATTTCCACATGAACACAAGTCTGAGGTGCTAATTCTCTCTTCCAGGCATAATTCAAAAGAAAGGTTGCTCTGGTACAGCTATTAGAAGGTGTAGCCATGCTGGAGGAAGCACGTCACTGGGTAGGGCTTAGAGTATTCTTAAGCCTTGCCAGATCTTGGGTCACTCTCTTGTTTCCTGTGTCAGTTTGAAGATGTGAGCACTATGCTTTTGCTCCTGCTCCACCCACCTCTGCCCACCATGCCTCCCCGCTAAGATGAACTGTAATTCCCCTGGAACCATAAACTCAAACAAACTCTTCCTTCTACGAGTTGCTTTGTTCAGTACTTCTATCACAGCAACAGAAATGTAATTAATACAGTAACTGGTACCAGGAGTGGGGTGTTGGCTGTAAAGAACCTGACCATGTGGAGTTTTAGAAGAATGTGAAGACTTTGGAAGCTTGGGCTAGAAAAATAGTGGATTGTTGTAAGCAGAGTTTAAAAGGCTGTTCTAGTAGGGGCCTGCAAGAAAGTGATGAGAAGTGAGTATGGCTGGCAGCCAAAGTGTGGTTCCTAAGTCTATATTTGCCTATAATACAATAAAAGCAAAATTGACATTTGTTTCTACCACAGGGCTTAAAATACTGTACTGTTTTCCTGAGCTTTGTAGGCAATGCACAGTGTACCCCACCTCTGATAGGGATATGAGTCAGCAACTTGTAAAGACAAATCCCCTTTTGTAAAAAATTCTTATGCCTGCTGTTTATTGAACTGCAAACCATCAGAGCTACATTCTGAAGAGAAGATCTAGAGATAGATGCATTTTTAACAGTACATGTGTGGGATGGCAAGTGCTTGAAAAAGTCAAGAAAATGATTATAAAAATGAGCAGGGTTTAACACAGAAAACACAAGCTGGATACCTTTGGAAAGAAGACCTTTTATTACATAAAATTAGCAAACTCTCACCAGTGGCAGGATTGGATTGTCTAACCTGAGGGGGATGAGGAAACCAGAAGCAGCAGATTGATGTTCCTTATAGTCTTGAACTTAACTGAGCACAAAGTTTGGAGGGTGAATACCAGAGAGTACTTTTACATTTAGTTGCCCATGATCCAGAAAGAAATAACGTCTGCATTTTCAGTCACAGTCCCAAACACTCAAGAAAACATCAAGAACAACTGATATCAAACTCAAAACAGTTTGAAGGCTCATACGCAGCATTGTTTTAAAAGTCATGTCATATTATATCTACCATAGGAAAAACCCTGGAAGAAGGTGCATCAAAAGGAGCCAACTTAATTTTCTCTGGATAGTAGAATTACGTGCACCACTGCTTATTGCTCTTTTAACTTTTCTGTAAAGAGGATATATTACTTTTGGGATGTAGAGATGGCTCACTGGTTAAGAGCACTGGCTGCTCTTGCAGAAGATCTGAGTTTGATTTACAGCACCCACAAGGCAGCTAACAACCATCCAGTAACTACAGTTCCAGGGGATCTGATGCTCTCTTCTGACCTTGGCAGGTATTGCACATACAGGTACACTTATGAACATGCAGGCATAACATTCAAACACATAAAATAAAAATAAATAAATAAAAAGAAAATATATTACTTTTTGTAATAAATATAAGTTAACTTTAAAGCAGTCATGCTGAATAAGATATACAGAATGCTTCTTCCTTGAAGGAAATTTTGTTATGAATGACAATTCCTTTAGACTTTTCCTTTGACTATGCCCCACATAATTTTTTCTTGGATTCCAATATTAGCAACATTAGGGCTATGTTTGAATTTTACAATGTTAAATGACACCGAGTGACTAAAACCTTTAAATTCCTAATCATTTCTCCATATTCGTTATTTTCACTTTCATATACTCCGGAACTTCAAAATGTTTCTAGGATAAAATGACAACTTTGTCTTTACCAGAACCCACAGTGTGCCCAAGGTGGACCCTCTGAGCCCCAAGGCCAAGCTACTGTGCCTGAAGTCTCCATGGAGGGTAATGTTCTTTCATCTCTAGGACCTCTCTAAGGCCTCAGTGGCTGATAACATAGATCACAGGAAACTGAATCCTAAGGGGAAGACAGCTGAAATAGATGCTACACCACAGCTCTGTAGGTACCTTTAAGATGGTAATGTTCCAGGTAAAGCTCTCCACTGCTTTCTGTAGTTTTCGTTCCTTCAGACCCTCCTTGGTGCCTATGCTGTGCAAATGTTCATGAAATTCCATGGCTGAAAGAAATAAAAAACATGAAGTATGTTACTTCCAAATCCTGTCGGTAGCCATGAACTGGCAATATGCACTTTCTAGTATAGCCATATCAACTTAATTCCAAGCTGCACTAGAATTTCATAATATGACCTATTTAAGAATGTGATAAGGGAGAGGAAAAACACAGGAGGCTCAGGACATTAATAGGCAGAGAGCATCTTCCAGACCAGAGAATGCTCCTCACAGCTCTGAGGGTGGGCATTACCCTTTGCTCTTATATTATACAAAGGCTGCCAACAAGTAGGAAGAGAAGATGGGAGTGACATAGGCCTCTAGAATCTCAAAGGGCAGATTTCATGTCTGCTGAGGACTGAACCCTAGAATAGGGGTGAATAGAATGCAAAGCCACCTTTCAAGTCAGTCAAGGTCAATGTAAGGTCAACTGTCAAACCTAGTTGCTAAAAAGTGGAGAAGTAACTCCAGATTTCCATTATATTATGATTCTCTGCCCCTGTTGGCTTTCAAAACTCTCTAATGCAAGAGTGGAGTGATGGTTCTTTTACTTGTGGTCCATATAACTCACAGACTGTTCTTTTCATATTCCCCTAGCCAATCCATCTCTGCCCAATAAGAACCTTTCAAACTGGTTCCCATGCCATCCTGAAACAACCAACTGGCGGCCTCTGCCACCTTCTTTGCTTTCTGGCAAAAGATACTGTAGGCTCCAAATACATTTCTCATCCAGGCCTTCCGGAGCTAGATATTTTCTCCAAAGAAAAAAAGACAAAGACAGAGACAGAGAGAAATAAAGAGACAGGGATCCTTCCTCCCATCTGGGTACTGTTTGTTTCTGAGTTTTCATTCTTTTCTTGGCCTTTTCACTGGTAGATCTAGAGCACATTTCTAAAGGGAAAGATAAGATCTAATATATACTTCAAATTTAATTCAAGGTGTTTATATAACTTTTGCAATTGTATGCTTAGTCTTCTTTCACAGGTAGAAAATCTTAATTCTTAACCAACAAATGTGACTAGTAATAGTAAAACTGCTGGACCAAATTAAATTCTCCTAGCTCTCTTTCATCTTTAGAGTAGGTCTTATTGAGAATGCCCAGTAAGTTTATAGTGTTGTGTGGTCAGGTGGAGTAATTCTTTCTCTATGTGGTTACATCACTGACAAAGCACAACAGGTCCATGTTGGTTCACTTCTTGTTTGTTTTCTCATGTGTACGTTCTTCTGTGTTACAGTTATGTCAAAACTTGGCATGGTTCTGAGGTACCATATCAAGGCATACTCAGGTAAATTCTCTCTCCTGGTCTTCTCTACCTGACTTCTCCCCACACCTTATCTACTTTTTATTAGTCTGTGATTATCTCTCCACTGTACTTCTCCATGCAAACAAGCACACATTCATGTATTCACAATCTTCCCTTTCTCACAGTTGTGCAGCACACTGTGCATACTGTTTTCAGTCTCTTTTTGTCTTCATGGTGGACCCTGCTTCATGCTGGTGCAGAGCCCTTGCTAATGCTTTGCCTACGAGCCACAGAGACTCACCTGTGCAGCCAGTCAGGGTGTAGGTAGCCAGTTCTCTATTGATGGATGCTGAGCAATTTCAAATCTTTTGCTGTGACAAACATCGTGGAATTACTGTAAAGTTTACAAGACATTTTCTGGATATTTGCTTGTTTGTTATTTTTATTTTATTTTTGTGGTACTAAAGCCAAGGCCTTGGGTATAATAAACAAATACTTTACCACTGAGCTGCATCATCAACCCTTTTTATTTATATCTGTTTTATTATTTATTTATATTTTAAGGTTGTGTCCCTTTTGTTTTCATTGAGATTAGATAGACAGATAGACAGACAGACAGACAGACAGACAGACAGACAGGGCATATGTGGAAGTCACAGGACAATTTGCAGGAGTTGGTCCTCTCATTCAACCATGTGAGTCCTGGGGATGGAACTCAGGTTGTCAGACTAGCCATCTCAATAGTCTTTTCTGTTTATTCTATGATAGAGCCTCACTAAGCTGCCATGCAGGCTTACTGGGAAGTTCCAATTTTCTCTCTCAGCCTCCTTAATAACTGGGATTACAGGTGTGTGCTGCCACACTTTCTGTGCTATTTTGTCCACTTTTACATTTTGGTTGGGCATTCTACTTTCTAACTCCTTTTCTATATGACACCACTTTGAATCAACAATCTGCAGTGACTGACAACTCTATTTCTTAGTGTCTTTAAACATTAAGCAAAAGCTGACACACACACACACACACACACACACACACACACACACACACACACATGCACACACACAATAAAGATAAGCTGCCAATGGAATCTTTTTCCTGTTTCTCCCCCATGTAACAGGAATCCTGGTCTTGTAGTCTAATAAGGAGGGACCCCCTGCTTCCAACTAAGAAGAGTAACTAGCACAAGTCTTCCCAATGTCTAGGGGACTAGAACACTGGCCATTTTGTTCCCCCCCTTCTCCTTTGCTAATGATGGCACTTGTGAGTATCCGAAAGTGATTTACTAAACCCAGCCCACCCCTGTGCTGATGGCCAGCTCATACAATGAGCTGCATCATGCCCAGTTTTTGGTTTGCTGGGCATGCTTGGCTTAATAGATCAAACTAAAACATGACACACAAAAATGAAAACAGGCCTGGGGAGTTTAGTTGGTAAAGTGCTTCCTGAGCAAGCACAAGGACTAAAGTTTGATCCCCAGAACTAATGTAAAAGGGCCCGTTGTGGTGGAACAAGCCTGTAATCCCAGATCTGGAAGGGTGAAGGCAGAAGGGTCCCTGATGCCAGCTTATCTACTTGTCGAGCTCCAGGCTGGCAACTGACACTGTCTTGAAAAACCAGGTGGATGGTACCCGAGGAACCTGAAGTTGACCTCTGGCCTCCACACACACATGCATGTACACCCACACACACATGAACATGCACATATACACAAAACACACAAAATGAAAACAACAATGACTATGGACAGGCAGCAATCATTAGCATACATGTACCCATGTGTATACCCACACCCACACTTCCCCTTCCACATCTGGGGGAGGCTCCCTGGACTGGATGCAATGACTGAGGACCTAAAAAAGGCACCAAAGTGCTGGTTCTTCTGTAAAGCTTTAGTCTAGTTCTCCACAAGAGATGTAGATAGTTCTAAACACAAACCCTTAATGTCACAAAGTCATATTTATGGCAGTCAGGAGGCATGCAAGTCTCAAAAGGAGCACAAGATTTGGTAGATGGACTCCATAACTGGAATACAGAACAGATAGAAGAGAAGAGCTAGGAACAGCAATCTGAACAAGAAGGAACACAGTTCCACAACCTGGAAGGGAGGGAAAGTGACATTAGCTTGGGAGTGCCCATCACAACTGTCAGATCAAGTGAAGCTGTTACACATTCTGGAACTGGCAGGTATAATACAACAGTGAAGACTTCAGCAACTGGGCATCTGCTTCGAAGTCTTATTCCACTGCTGTTTACATTGTCTTGCTGAGTATTTCATCAGCTGTGAGGTGTTGACAGGAACTGTTACGTTGTGATTAATTAATTCCCACTAACAAGTACAAGCCTGAGGTAACACAGATGTGGGCTACACATCTACCATTACGACAGCAACTTCAGAAAGTTCAGAAGGCAGGCAGGACCCCAGAGCATAAACGGATGACAAGCCTGGAGGCTTGGAGGTGCATGACTAAGTGGAGAAAGAACACTGACAGAGAAGACGTGGAAACACTCAGACAGGAAGGCACACACACCTGCTATCCAAACGTTCTACAGATCTGTTCCTAAGAGAGATGAGGCATTATCAGCTTGGTTTACCTAAAATATATGTAGTCCAATAAAATTTCATGGGGAAATTATGAAGTTTTCTTTTAAATGGGCATGAAAAGGGTGATAGGTTGAATACTGAAATAATTATGTTGAAAATATGTAAAAGAATTTTAAAAAGTGACCAAGAATGGTCACTTGGTCCCCTGCTATTTATTTTGATATTTGATTTGCTGGCTAACACATCCATTTCTTATAAAATATACCTACGCTAACTTAGAGAATGATCTTTGCAAATTCTCTGGTGGTGTTCTTGCTAGTCCAGTTTGTTTTTAAGAAAAAAAAGCATTCTTCAACTTGTCCAGGAGAGCAGGATGGCCCCGTCCCTACTCTGTGACAAGTGAAGAGAGTAAAGGCTAAGGGTCCTGCAGGCACTTCCAAAGATGGTGAGGAGGGATGGAAACAAACAGCAGGTGTTTCCAAGGAAATGCTGAGGGATCTGCATTTGTCTGAGCCCAGTGACTCAGGTTTTCCAATCATCAAACATTATTTCTAGACAAAAGTATCCCAGCTTTTTAACAGGAGCTCATGATAAAGCTATATGTATAAAATAATTTTGCGGTGAGGCAGAACAGTGTAAGAGCTTCTGGATAATTATTAGAGAGAATGAGGGTGGGGAGATGGCTCAGTGGGTAAAGTGTCTTCTGTGCAAGCATGAGGACCAAAGTTCAGATCCTCTCCCAGCACTGATATAAAATGTTGGGTGAGCCTGTAATCCCAGCATGTGGTAGGTGGAAACAGGGATCTCCAGAGCAAGCTGGCTAGCCAGATGGCAATGTCTGGGTTTCAAGTAAGAGACTGTACCTTAACATACAAGGTGGAGAGTGATTGAGGAAGACACCTGACATCAACCTTTGACCTCCATACACACGAACACACATATCTTGGCTATAACTTATTAGGAAATTGACCCTAGCATGTCACAGGAGGCCTTCTGAGAGCTCTGTTCCACTGTGGACATAAAGGACTTGTCTGGGTTATATATTAAGTAACCTTCCTATTTCCAAATATTTATAGCAAAGAACCAACCCAGTGAAAAAAAGTCTTAAGAACCTTAAAAGTAGGTCCTATTCTCCTTCTATAAAATAACAATTCTGTCTAACACATGGAGTGAGCTTTACAGTAGCTGGTAAAAGTCAGCAAAAATGTTAAGGCTAAGT